GTAATAATTCATAAAAAGGAACTAATATCCTTGCAAAATCCTCTATAAATCGATGATAATAATTTACCATTCCCATAAACTATTGTATCTCAGTTTTATTCGTCAGTTTTCGCATGTTTGCAATACTTACCAAATTATTATCCAACGGTTTCACGTCTATTCCATTTATTTTATGCCCAAATATACAATTTCTGTAACCACCATAACACTTTTTTCATTATTCGCTCTTAATCCTTTAACTTGAATTCTCTTAAAAACTTCTTTCAACCTTTGATTAAGTTGCTCTATCGATATTCCCATGATTAAAACATCATCCATTTAATAAAATACACCTTCTAATCCCGGAAATACCGCAGCCATTGTTCTTTGAGAAATTGGTGCTGAAACACTCAATCCAAATTGCAATCTACAAAATGTAAATAATCCTTTAAACGTTGTTATTGAGAAGAGTAACAATTTTTTCGTAGATTCCTTCATAGGTGACTGTAAATACGCACATGAAAAAATCTATTTTTGGAAAAACTTTGCTCCTTTTAAATTCACTAAAATTCTTCAATTCTAGGTAATGGGTACTTTACCTCTACAACCCACGGATTTAGAGTTATTCTAAAATCCGCACAAATCCTTAACTTGTCCACCTTCCTTACCGGAACTAATGGTGTTGCCTATTCACTTTATCCAATAGGGCAAATGATTCCATCACGTAACCAATTATCTAATTCTTTTTCCATTTCTGCTCTTCATTCAAAAGGCACATTACGTACTGGACAATATTGAGGTATATATATATCCTTCTTTTAAATGTATAGCTTCATAATTCACCAAATAACCCAATTTTTCATCAAATTTCTTTATATTTATTCTTTAAATCAACCATGACCTTCCTTATTACCACCAAATTCTTCTTCTACCACACTCTCATGCTTTAATTTTTTCCTCACCATTTTCATCGGGAAATTGATACAGATAATTTTTCCCTTTCCAAATTGAATCCTTATAAATCTCATCACATCTTATATAACTATTTACCAGCTCCGATTTTCCTAAAATTATACTATTGTCTACTTCCAACGTAAAATCTTCATCACCAATTTCTGAAATATTTTTAACTTCCAGATTAACCTAAATATTATCAACTTCCAAATCAAGAATTTTCTCAATTCCTTGACTATGTAACATACTTAGGTCATCTTTATTATCCAATAGATCAGGTCTCCTGACCCATTTTATCATTCATAATTTTTACATTTTTCTGAATTTCCTCAGAATTATTTACCAAATTTTTAATTTCACCACTCTTTGGCATTTTATTTTTCACAATTTCTTTTTCCTTATTATCAAAAATTTCTTGATTATTATTTACCATATTTTCAATTTTAATATTCTCTAAATTATTTTCCATTAATCTATTTTCCAAGTTCTTAATATATACCTCTTTTATAGATGTTTTTGGTATTTCACTATTTTTATTATCTTTTCTCTCAGAATATATTCAAAAAATTATTTTCCAGTCCAAAGTTTGATATCCAATTCCATCCCAGAATGTATCAACTTTTCCTTCCAAAATCCAAATGTCCAAACATATTATTTCTTTATTTACTAATACCGGTAAATTTACATTCCCCAATATTATAATTTCAGATCCATTCAATTGTTTTACCCTCATTTTATCTTTGGTTCATTTGGCCAATTTGTAAAATCATACCCCATAACAGATATTGTTGCCCCTGTATCCAATAACATTGAAATGTCTTTATTTCCTACATTCACTTTTAACCTTGGACATTGATCATAATTTTTATCATCTTCCAACGTTAAAATCGGTAAATTACATATTTGTATATTGCCTTGGATTACATTTTCCAATATATTTTTATAAACCCCATAATTCTTATTTTCATTTCCTCCATTTTTTATTCATTATTAACATTAATTGTATTTTGAAATATAATTTATTTTATTCATTTGATCTACTGGATTCTTTGATGTAATGCCTCCTAATGTTTTTATTTCTCTATCTTACAGTCATCTTACTGTACAATCTTTCGCATAATGTCCAATATTGCGGCATTAAAAAAAGTTATATCTTCCACATTGTTTCATGCCGGAACGTAAAAATCTTCTGCATCATATCCTTTATTCCCACATCTTTTACATATCTTCGGTAACACTATTTGATTTATTCTTTCATTACATTCCCTGCTTATATGATTATACTTTCCACAATTATAACATGCTGCATTTTGCCCCTTCCTATTTGACTGATTCCTTCTATATTCAACTATATCCATTTCCCCTTTTATCATTTTCATAATTTTGTCCTATTCCTTTCTTTTATTTTCATTTCTGTCATTTCTACTTTCAATATTTCTTTTTCCCTTTTTTTCTAACTCAATTTCTTCCATTCCTTTTTCTTTCTAACCATTTCTCCTTTCAGTTTCCCATTCTTCTCATTTAATTATTTCAATTTCAATCTCTTTTTTATTTTTTTTGTTTCATTCTCCTTTTCTTATTTTCTATATCCATTTCATCCTTTTCTTTTTCAGAATCTCTAATGATATCTGGTTTATTAATATTAATCCCAAATTTTCTTTTTTCAAAATCGCTAAAGATATCTGTTTTTAATATTTCTTTTTTCTTTTCATCATACATATAAATAATTTTTCCATTTTTTATAAAAATTTCTCAATTTTTTCTGTTTTAATATTCTTATTCTATTTGTTTCTTTTTTTCCATTCCTTTTCTTATACCATAAATAAATTATAACCCATAATATTAAGATTATAGCTATTCCAAAATAAATACTTAATTGAGAAACATTTTTAATTTCAAAATAATTTGTATGTTTAATTATTTTTTCTATTCAAAATTTTATTTTTACTTAAGAATTTTTATACTCCAAATTAAACTATATAATAAACTAATTAATAATTTTATTAAAAATATTTTCACAATTTTAAATGATAAAAAGTAAGCTAATGCAATTATTACCAATATCACTATTACACAATACATTAAATTTCAACAGAACAAAATTTTACCTTTTATTTCGAATTTCCTTTTTTTATTTTCTAATGGTCTATGATCGTATATTTTTATATTTACACTGCGTCAAATTTTTTACCATCTTCTCCGTGGTTGAAAAAAAAACGGCACCACTTTTAAGATTGTTTCACAAAAATAATTGATTGTTGTCAAAAATACTTATATGATAGTTCTCAAAAATAAAAGCTTCTTCTAAAACTTACGTATATTTTATTTACCAAATATTAATAATAATATTTTTTACAATTTCGATATTTTTTTTATAATACATATAATAATAATCAAATAATAATGATCAAAATAATATCAATAATACAACACAAATACATATGCCTAGAATAATATTTACATATGATATTTATGTATTTTATATTTACAAGTGATATAATTATTTTTATATTGATATTTTGTATTATATAACAAGATTTATTTTTACAATTAATAATTTTTTTATAATACTAAGTATTTAAATTCACGATTTACCTTATTTCAATTAAAAATTTAATACAAGTTAAGGGATACTTCAATTAAATTTTTCTTAACATTCAAATAATTTATTTTTATCATTTTATATAATTGTGTATAATGAATAAATTAAATAATTTTCTGTTGATGTCTGTTAAGACTAACAGGTTAATTGAAAATCTATGTTTAAAGTCATAAAATTGTGAACCACTATTGGGAGGGCTCTTAATATAGATATGTTTACCAACTATTGCCACAAATTCCTTTACTTTAAAAAATCTCAAAAAAGTTCAAAAATAACGATTATGACGATTGTCACTTTCCCATAGTACACTTTCACTGAAATATTAATTTAACATGTTTACAAAACATATTTTTACCCATTTACTTTAAAAAAAACTCAAAAAAGTTTAAAAATAACTATTATGACAATTGTCACTTTTCTATAGTACACTCACTGAAATATTAATTTAACATATTTACAAAACATATTTTTATCTATTTGCTTTAAAAAAAGTTCAAAAATAACGATTATGACATTTGTCACTCTTACCTAAAAAATTTATTAAAAAAATTATATAACACAAAAATTAAAAAAATTAGCGATCAAAAGATATATCAATATAAATTTTAAGAAAAATATATATTAAAAAAAATATATATTAAAAAAAAATATATTTAAAAAAATTTATTAAAAAAAATCATATAACACAAAAAATAAAAAATATAAAAAAAAATATATATTTTTAAAAATTTATTAAAAAAACATATAACACAAAAAATATAAAAAATTAGCGATCAAAAGATATATCAAGAAAAAAAATATAAATTTTAAAAAAGATATCAATCAAAAAAAAATTTTTTAAATAATTTATTAAAGAAATCATATAACACAAAAAATAAAAAAAATTAGCGATAAATATATATTAAAAAAAAATCAATCAAAAAATATATTGTAACAAATTAAAATATATTTAAAAAAAAATATCAATCAAAAAATATATTGTAACAAATTAAAATATATTTAAAATTAAAATATAATATTAATCTTAAAAAATTATTAATAATATAATATTACAAAAATTACACATTGCCTGATTTAACCCGGCAAAAACCCGGCAATGTATACTTTGCCGAAATAACAAAATTACCCTGCCTACCACTACCTCACATTGCCGAATATTTCACATTGCCGCTAACCTATATACATATACTATAAAAAAAATAGATGGTGTCGGGTGTACTGAAAAATTTAAAAACGTTAATAAATATGTATAAGGAGAACAATTAGATTAAAGCTATAATCTGTCGATATCAATTTAATGTCTGATCAGCATCCAAAAATGATATCGGCACAGGTTGGTTCTGTAATTCCTTTTCTTTCTTATATATATTCTTAATTTCTATTTACAGATATCCTTCGCATTCTTTTCTTTTAACTCTTTATTTCCTTTTTCTGTTCTATAATCTCACCATTCCACCAAATATAGGTACAGGAGAGAGCGGCAAATCGACATTCATAAAGCAAATGCGGATAATTCACGGGAGCGGATATTCCGAAGAAGACAAGCGCGGATTTGTAAGGCTTGTTTACCAGAACATATTTTCGGCCGCGAATTCCCTAGTGAGAGCTATGGAAACTCTGCGAATTCCGTATACTAACCAGGCTAATCTTGTAAAATGATTTATTTAATTACCTTATAGTCAAAATGATTTGTTTAAGAAATATTATTTAAAATTCCCAGGTATACTTCAAAATTCCAATTCTTCTTTCAAAAACTCCTAATTTTCATATTATCCTTAGAAATATTTTTAACGTTTCTATTATTTCTAGAATCATTTACCTTCCCCTTTTTCTCAAAATTCACATTTTTTGAAATATTTTAAAGCAATATTCTCAATTTTCTATGAAAAATTTATTATTTTTCTCATTACTTTGAGATCAAAGTTCTAATTTTACTAAAGTTGAAAATTCCTGAAATTATCTAAATTTCTTCATTCATTTAAGGATTCATAGAAATTTAAATTATTTTTTATAATTTCATTAAAAATTTCCCTATATTTTTAAAAATCAGGAAAAGGCGGCATTAATAAAAGAAGTGGACTACGAAGCCGTTATCACCTTTGATCCCATTTTCGTGGAAGCAATCAAATCCTTGTGGAATGACCCCGGAATCCAAGAATGTTATGATAGGAGAAGAGAATATCAGCTAACTGACAGTGCAAAATAGTATGGGAAATGCCGAAATCTATTTTCCCGGAGAGATTACCGGGAAATTTTGATTTTCGAATTATTTTCTAAGAAAAATAAAGAATATTCTTTTCAGTTTGTTGAGAATTATAGATATACTTCTCTCAATCTTTCCCTGAAAAATTGGAATTTCATATATTGTTTCCGATTTAAATATCTCCTTATGACTGCTTAAAAAATATGGGGAAATATCTTATTTAGAAGATTGACTGTTGTCAAAATATCAATCTCCCCTATAAAATAAAATATTCACATTTTTAAAAATATTTTTGGGAAACATGAATTTTGAAAAATAATAAATAATACAATGAAAAAATTTTAAACTTTACACAAACTTAATATCTATTCATCAAAGCTATTTAACCGACGTTGACAGGATAAGCCAGCTTGACTACCTACCAACTCAGCAGGACATCCTCAGGGTAAGAGTTCCCACCACCGGTATCATTGAATATCCTTTCGATCTCGACTCTATCATATTCAGGTCAGAAATCTTATGTGTATAGTTCCTACTTACCATCAAATCAGTAACGATGTTAAATTATAATAGACAATTTTCATTCATAGTGTAATAATACTTAAAAGAATAGCTACATAAAATTTACTATAAAATGATGTTATTGAAACAGTTGTTTACCTCTAGGAAAGGTGTCTCTTGACTTAGTATCACATAAACTGCTCCACTAACCAAATAAATATAACCAAAAATTTGGTGCTACATTAATTTGCTTTTGTGTTTTTACATACTTTAACAAAAGAAGGTATTATTATGTTTAATATTTTATTTTAGACTTAGGCTTCTTATAACCCTATTCTGAATAGTGTTATTAATTGGCTAGAGTCGCTCGAACAGAGCTGACCCAAATTTTGAATCGGTTTTTCGACTCCGATTCAAAGTTTGGGTCGTTTTTTTCGACCTTGACCCGAATTCAAGTCGGAAAAACGACCTCGACCTAAAATATGGGTTTGAGTCGGAGTCGAAAAAACGACCCGAACTTTGGTTCGGTGTCAGTCGCGGCCTTTTAACAACAGTAATTCTGAAATTTAATTATTAAAAAAGTATATTTTATATATCATCCATAATTCAAGAATCATTACAAAATAATAAGTTTTGTAGTATATTTGATATTATAAAATAGTAGATGGAGTCATTTATTTATTATTCTTATCAAATCAATATCGTGTTAAGTTTCACGCTTTAAAAAGAAAGCAGGAAATGTTAAACAGTCTATGATTAGTTAATCTATGAAGTCTCTATTCCATTAACTTTAAATCGCATACTCCTCGTTCATCATTAAAAAGGAGTAGGAATGAGATTATTTAAAAGGTGTAATAAACAATTTTTCAATGTAAATAAATGATAAAACAATGTAATTTTTTTTAAAATACAAAAGTTTGATAATATTTTGTGAATGAATGCTAAATTTCTCTCCTTGATCAAATAGCTTTAAAATGTAAAATTGTATGGAATAGGCAAGACACGAGTAATATTTAGTGTGCGTGTATATTTAAAAAAAGAATCTATTTAAGATGAGGTTTAAAAAAATATATTTCACAAAAATGTCAATAAGTGCTTATAAGAAGACTTAAGTAAAATGACCTAAATTCATTTTGAGGGAGTAATAGTTTCCTTTATTTCGAAATAGGATGGTAGACGTGGGTGGTCAGCGGAGTGAAAGGCGAAAATGGATACATTGTTTTGAAAATGTCACGTCAATCATGTTCCTCGTAGCGCTCAGTGAATACGACCAGGTGCTCGTGGAGAGTGATAACGAAGTTTGTGATTTTTATATATAATTATATATCCTTTTATTATATATAAATCATTTACAGACCAATATAATATTTATAACAAACATCAATCAATAAAAATAAAGAATATATATGAAATACATTATTATAGAAATTAGATAATAAGAAATAGCTAATATGACAACAATAATATTAATATACAATACTTAATCCAAATTTAAATGGATTTAAAATTAAAAAATCGATTATTGAATATTAAAAAAATGGGAGGTATAATTCTAATCATCTTGGGATATTGAGTTAATAACACAAATTATATTGCCCTAAGGATAGATATTCGAAATTTTTCTGTTTTGACGACCAACATCTTTGAATAAGTTCTTCGCCAAATCGCCATATGTTTCGAGTGTATAATAGCTGATTATTGGTATGAAAATTTGACCGATGAGCCTAGAATATTTGACAATTTTTAAATTCTGGGCCCTGTTTGTTAATTGCATCCTTGTTAAAATTGGATGTTCGTGCCTATGCACGAGAAATCCTATATTAAAAGGTTTCCTTGTATCAATGGAATGCCTATAATTCTATCAAGGGGTCTACTGTCAGGAGATATATTGAATGCTTGCATTCTTTCTTTTCTATATTATTTTCTTACCATTTTGTTCCTCAATTTTGATTTTCCCTTTTATTTTGTTTCTTATTTTTAAGACTGCAATTATAACACAATATAATGAAAATGCAATTAATACACATTATTCATATTTTTTTGACCATGCTTTATTTTATTAATCTTGAGGTAATAATAAATTATTGCAATCTTGTAATATTGATTATTAATGTTTACCAAGAAGGATTGAACTGATAATCTAGCTCCCCGAGGTATTCCCGATAATTGGGGGAGGGGGGATCTTTAACAAGAATGTCCTAATCCATGAATAATTTGGATCCTCAATGATTTTTAATTCAATTATTTGTTATTGCAGAATCATATTGAATATTATTATTATCTAAAGTTGGTAAAATTAATTAATGGGTATGTGTAATGTGAATGGTGGTATACTACTAAGAGGGAGAGCCTGTAGTCTTGGATCCTGGATCTAGACAATATTGGACCATGGAGACTACATTTATTTCTTTATTTTTACAGTAAAGCTCAAAAGTCATTCCTAATGCCATAATAGTTACATTAATATTTTTTGATGGGAATAACCATGGTTTGAAAAGTCTATGTTGTCAGCATGTAATATCTAGATTGTTTTAAAAGAAAATTTATTAATTAATATTGTTGATTACTTTTAAAAGATTTGTTTTACAAAACTTATTTTTTTTCAAATACTCATCTATATCAATATCCCCTTCACAAATCAAAACTTTATTTAATCGGGTACGTGTTTGTTTCTATCTTCTTATATCCCGTGAACGTTTAAGTAATGGTTTTTGCCCCTAATATCCCCTTCACAAATCAAAACTTTATTTAATCGGGTACGTGTTTGTTTCTATCTTCTTATATCCCGTGAACGTTTAAGTAATGGTTTTTGCCCCTTGCGAGCACAGGCAACCTGCCCAAAAATTGTGGGTGGGCTTCTTTCTTAATTTAACGCCCAATTAATTCAAAATTCTTATTATAGAAGTTATAATGATAATGAATATTCTAATTGATATTCGTAGTATTCGATTCATAAAACTAGAGCACTAATTAAACCTCCATAATGGGAAAACCCTATAATAAATAAATGAATTCATAGATAATATTAAGATTGAAAGATACAAATATCAAATTGTGATCGATATTAGTCTTTTTAAAAAAAATCTAAGAATAAATTTAACTTTACATTTCAAACACTTGCAGAATAGAATGGAGGAAAGCAAAGCTCTATTCAGGACCATCATAACATACCCTTGGTTTCAAAACAGCTCGGTTATTTTGTTTCTCAACAAAAAAGACCTGTTGGAAGAGAAGATCGTACATTCTCATCTGGCAGACTATTTTCCCGATTTCGATGGTAATGAACCCATCTGCATTAACTTTTATATTTCTTGTTTCTTTCCTTCATTTTTGCATTTTACTATTCTTTTTTTAACATTCTTCTTTGTATTATTTAATTTACATTTTTTATTTTAAAATAAGTTTACAATTTTTTTCGTCTATATGTTCATTTTATTCTTTTATTTATTTTTCCATTAAGAAAAAAGGAAAATATTTTTTTTTGTTTTCAATTTTTAGGACCCAAAAGGGACGCCCAGGCGGCCCGGGAGTTTATTCTCAAAATGTTTGTGGATTTGAATCCAGATACGGATAAAATTATATATTCTCACTTCACTTGTGCCACTGGTAATATTTTCTGTAATCCATTTATTTCCCTTTTTCTTTTAATCATAAAATGCTATCAAATAATTCTGCTTTATAATTATACTAAACAATTTATTCTTTCTAACCATTAAATTCCCTTTTAACATTTTATTATTCCAATAATTAAAAATTCTTTATAATTTAAATTCAAACAATTTACTTTCCTTCCAATGCAGGGTTGGGCAGTATCGCGGATATTTGTATCTAAGATACAAGATACTTTTGTATTTTGTATCTTTTTTAAAATTTTGGAAAGTATCTTGTATCCAGTATCTAAGATACATATTATTTAAAAGTATTTGTATCTTAACCAATTTTGTATTCAAAAATATACAGATACTTAAAAAAAAATTTATTGATTAATTTAAATAGTATTAAAATTTAAAATGATATTGTTTTAAGATTTAAATGAAAAATTTAATCAAAATTTAGATATTTTAAGATAATTTTTGGTTTATCTTCGTCTTCAGATGATTCTTCAACCGAAAATTATAACAATAAATTTAAACTAAGCATACTTAATGACAAATTTTTTGAAGTACTTCAAGATGATCATAATAAAAAAATTTATCGTGACTTTGGTATTGACGAAAAAGTTATAGCAACTGTTACAGATAACGGCTCTAACTTTAAGAAAGCTTTCAAGAGTTTGGATATTCTATGGAAGCTGTAGAGAATGACTTTGACATCAATGATGATGAATGTATAGAATTCGAAATCATTGAAAGTATTTTTTAATACTTCTTTAAAATTTATTATGATATTGTAAATTTAGTAAAATTTTTTATTCAAATGTTTATTTAAGGGTCTAAAGAAGCCTCAATAACATTGCCTCAACACATTCGTTGTTTGTGCCATACGATAAGTCTAATTGCCACAACAGATGTCGAGAGAGCTATTTAGGATTCTCCTAACATTTCTAAAATTCATCATCCTGCAATAGCTAAATGTACTAAGCTATGGAATGCAAATAATAGGCCTAAAACTGCAGAACTTATCAAAGCAGTTTTAAGGCACTAGATGGAATAGTTTGTATGATAGTCTTCATAGTTTATTAAAATTTAAAGGCGAACTTCCTAAATTATGTCAAAAATTAGAATTTCCTAAATTAAGAGATATTGAAATTCAATATTTAGAAGAATATTGCAATATAATGGCCCCATTGGCTATAGCGATTGACAAAATACAGAGTGAAATCAACTGCTATTTTTTAAATGTCGTTAAAAAAAAATTACAAATTTAATTCAAACCATTCTACAATTTTGCAAACCATTAGCTATTGCCATAGTAAATTATTTAAATAAAAGATTTAAAAATATATATGATTTTGATAACAATTTTAAAAGTGCATTTTTGGCAAGTATTCTCATCATCCCTCTTTTAAAAATCGTTGGATTGATGGTGAAAAAGAAAAAAAAATACCTTCAGGATTTGTTATTACATGAAGTTTTAATTGTTTTTAAAAATAATATTGAAATTAATACTTCAACAAAATCTTCAATTGATGCAGATGATGATTACTTTTGTCTTAAAAGTACCACATCCAATTCTAATAATTCAATAAATGATATTGAAATAGAGGTCCTAAATTATATGAAAGATGACAGGCGGAGTATAAATATGTTAAATAGTTATAAATATATAAAAGAAATATTTATTAAATATAACACAATATTACCCTCCTCAGCCCCCGTTGAAAGATTATTTAGCTTTGCTTATATGGTTAATAGACCAAATCGTCAAAGATTGAACGATAAATCATTTGAAAAATTAATAATATTAAAAAATAATGCTGATTATTATTATTTACTAATTATATAATTATTAAATAGAATATCGCATTATCTTTTATAATAAATTTGTTATTTTCTACAATTTATTTTAAATATTTTTTTATAAATTTATATTATAGATAAGAAAATAAAGCTTTATACATTTTGATTTTGACTATTTAAAGTTTTTTAAAAAAGTATCTTGTATCTTAGATACTTTTTTAAAAAAATACAAGTATCTTGTATCTTATATCTTATTGAAATTTTTCTAAAGTATCTTGTATCTTAAATACAAAATTTTATAAAGTATCTATATCTGTATCCGAATACAATTTTCAAATTTGCCCAACCCTGCCAATGGATTAATGTTTTCTTCTATTTTTTATTAAACGTGTATCATGTGTTTGACTGCAAAATCGTCTTTCAAATTTTACAGGAGAAATAAAATATTTAATAATATAATAAGTTCTTATTATAAAATTAATCTTGTTCATTAAACACAAATTTTAGTAGTGATTTAAGAATATACCTCATATTTCAAAATATTATAAAAATTATACTCAATTTTTTTTTCATATTATTTTTAATATACTTTTTTTTAAATTATGCGGTTATGTGAAATTAAAATGAAAAAAGTGCTGTAAACATTTTTTTAAAAATCGAACGCGTTCCAAAATTTTATGATAAAAAAAAACACCTTTTATTTTTATTTATTTGAAAAATTTAATATCAATCCGAATTTTTTAAGAAAAAAGTCCCGTTTTCACATTTCATTTTTTTTAACACGCCATTATTATAGTTTGGATGTTATTGTTTATATTTTAATTTAATAGATTAGCATAAGCATGAATATTATTATTTCATCATCATCATCCTCTGATTCTAAACATTCAAAATCAGATGAATTAACACAATGGCCCAAATTTGATAAATATTTAAAAGTAACATCCTATATTGGAAGAAACTAATTCAATACTTACCAAATGTAAAATGTGCCCAAAAATTATATAAGTTTTAAAATCTTCAAATTCCAATTTAAAACGACATATTGTAATATTAATTATTTTATATAATATAATATAACTAAATAAAATCATTAAATTTGAAGAAAAAATGCATTTGGACTACTTGACGCCAACAATAACGATAGTTATTTTAAAATTAAAAAAAATTAATGACCTAAAATATGGTCAACCATTGATAGACGAAGTATTAAATGGGATTAATAAAAGGTATTAAACCTATCGCTATCAAATTAATATACATATTTTTTTTAAAGATTTAAATATATATATATGTAGATCAATAAGTTCTTTCTCCAATTATACATCCAGTATTGAATCTTCAATGGCCATGGATATAACTTCCACAGAACGAACCTATAAAAAATTAACTTAGCGTTATTGAAAAAATGCATTGAAAACCCTAGAAATGATTATGCAAGAACTGTTATTCCGAGATATCCTTTTTTTGACAAGGAAGTAGAGGATGGATTGGAGGAGGATAACTTATCTCTTTTTGAAAAAGGACAAACCAATAAATGTTTTTAATAAATTCCCCACGTTATAGGAGTTGTTTATTAAGTATTATACCGCAATCCCCTCATCTGCCCCTGTAGAGCGCGTTTTTAGTATAGCTAATGCCATACTAACTACCAAAGGTTCCTGTCTATCAGATGAAAATTTTTAAAACAATTGTTAATAAAATTAATAAGAAAAATTTTTTAAAAATAAAAATTCCTTTTTATTCGCTATATTATATTGTATTTATAATTATATTATCAATATAAAACTATATTATTTTTTAACATGTCTAATATATTGTGTTAAAAAAGATAAGTCATTTATTTATATTAAATTAAATTTTAAAAAAAATTTATCATAAAATTTTGAACGTTTTTTTGAGAGTGAACGTGAACTCGTTCGATTTATGTCGGTGAACGCGAGCGCGTTCGATTTTTTTAGAAATGTTTAAGCACTAATTTTTAATAATTGATTTTCAAAATTTTCATCTGATAGACGGGAACGCTTGGCAGTTAATACGCCATTAGCTATCTAGAAACGCGCTCTACAGGGGCAGATGAGGGGATTGCGGTATTGTACTTAATAAGCAAAACCAGGGAAATTTATTAAAAACATTTATTGTTTTGTCCTTTGCTTCAAAAAATTGAGATAAGTTATCCTCCTCCAATCTATCCTCTACTTCCTTGTTTAATAATAAATATTTTTATATAAATATTAAATTTATCATTTATAGCATTTTTATATTAAAATTTTTAATATAATATAAAAGTTAATTATTTGTATAAAATATAAATTTATACTTCAAATTGTGTGCAGCAATTAAAATATAAAATCCTTGATTAAAATAATAGTGATTAGATTATAATTTTAAAAAATAACATTAAAAATAAATTTTAAATGATATCAACCATTTCATTTTATGTATATAATATATAAAATTTAATGATTTTTTACTTAGAACAATCTAAAATAAATTATTAACTGTATATTATATAAATAAAATAATTAATATTAACATCAAATGTCGTTTTAAATTGGAACTTGAAGATTTTAAACTGATATAATACTTTTTGGGCACATTTTACATTTGGTTAGTATTGAATTAGTTCCTTCAATAAAGAATGACTTTAAAATATTTATCATATTTGGGTCATGGTAATGTTTTCAAAATCAGATGATGATGAAATAATAATAGCTTATTTTAATCTATCAAATTAAAATATAAACTATAATAATGGAATGGCTTGTTAAAAAATTGAAATGTGAAAAAGGAAAAACAGCTGATTAATATAAGGCTTTTTTTCTTAAAAATTGGGATTAATATTAAATTTTTCTAATAAATAAAAATAAAAAGTGTTTTTTAAAATTGAACGAACGTTAAATTCGAATGCGTTCACATTCAAAGTTTGTCAAAAATAAAAGGAACGCCATTCATCTTTTTTTCAAAAAAAATCAACTTCGAACGCGTTCAGCATTAGCAAATAAATGACGTAGTTTAAAAAAAAATTTAACCAAATATCTCTTAAACATTTAAATATTTTACAGCCAATATACAAACTAGCTAGAGGTTTAGCTAGTTTACAAACATACAAACTAGCTATCAAATTTTTTTTTTAATGAATGTTAAAGATTTCGGATTATATATTTTATGATTTTTTTTTTATTTTAGTAAATGATTTTGTATATT